CCACTGAGCTTAGCAGATACATATTTCCAAAGAATCACAAGACACTTAAAACACCGTGAATTGAAAGGAATGTGTATTTGAATGTCCAATTAGTTAAAGAAAACTCAAAGTCAATGAAACTGAATATGTTGGATTTGAATACCATATGTCGGCGTATTTTAGCCCTCATTTGGAGAAGACCGGAGGGCAGAATTAACAGTCCCTGCCTTGTGCTGGCCCCGTCTCCTGCACGAGCAGCGGGGATTAAGCAGAGAATACTTGCGAATGTTTCACAAATAACTTCCTTGGAGACGTGCAAGTTTTTCACACATAACTTCCTTGCTGCTAATCCCTGCTTCGCACTAGTAGCCACACATGGCTCCTTGGACGACAATTACTCAGTTGACTCAACTTCATAAGGCTCTGGAGTCAGCATGGCTGGTTTTAAAGATGTGCCAGCTCCAGGACTCTGGGCAAGTTATTTATCCCCTAGGCATCTTGGTTTCCTCATCAATAAATTGGGCATAGTCATGGTCCTCCCTCAGAGAATCATCCTGAGGACAAAGAAGCTGTTTACGGAGGACTGGAAGAACACCTAAGAAATAACGAGGAAATCTCAAGAGAGGCCAAGTCTGTTCTCAAGTGTCCAATTTCTAGCTCTTCACTTCCCTCTCCTACCTTCTTGTGGTCTCTGCAATACCTTCGCAGGTCTTTTCAAAACTTTTCTCACAGAAATGTGAGGCTTGGTCATAGTGCAGTGTAATGGGTAGAGGACAGTTTAAAATATCACTCCTGTCAGAGGAAAGTGCAGATTTCAATAGGAGTCAAAGCCTTCAGCTTAAGGAAGCGCATCTCTAGGGCACACTCGTGTGCGTGGGACAGCTGGTGGAAGGTAGTGGGATGCTGCCCCAGGCTTCTGACCACACTGCCATTTGCCTTTCTCGACCCCACCATAGCGTGGCCCAGGGTCTAGGGATGAAGGGGGGTGAGCTCTGGGCTGGATGTCTCACAGAGAGGCTTCCAAGGCCACCAACAGGCTCCTCTGACGTTCCTGCTCCTCTCAGGACACTTGAGAAACAGGCAGAAAGGACAGGCATGAGCGTTGTCTCTGGAGCTCACTTGGGAAGGCAGGACAGCTAGGTGGGGAGTCCTGGAGGGTGACCTGTGGGGCTGGCAGGCTCTCCTCAGACCATGCAGGGAGCAACCTCGGGTTCAGTTCTGAGGGCTCCACTTTAAGGAGGACGCTGGTCATTTGCAGTCATCCATGAGAGAGCAAGAAGGATGAGCAGGATAGACTTAAAACCATGGAGGGAAATTTCAACCTGGAGAAGACAAGACCAAGAGTGACTGCCATCTTTAAACACGTAGGGGCACCTTGTCCAGGAGGGGTTGCCCTTCTCCATGGATCCAAAGGAAGAACCAGGGATGAGGGATGGTAATTTGAGGGACACTGATTTTGACTGAATGAAAAAATGAGCTTTTATGGATAGGCTGCGCATCATGAGACTGTGAACTCTCTGTCACTGGAGCCGTGAAGTATAAGCAGGATAATTAGGATCCTCTTTGAAGATCTGATGGATTTTGGACTATGGATTTTGGACTAAGTGATTATTATTAGTTTTTTTTTTTTGTCTTTTAAAAAACTTTTTATTTGTAAATAATTTTTTCATATGTAAATTTATAAAAGTGTTAAAATATATAATCAGCACAAAGAACACCTGTATAAATTTTATCCTTATTCAAAAATTTCTAGCACTTTACCCATTTACTTTATTATTTGCCCTCTCTCTCTCCAACTGGATGATTTTTGGGTCACTTCTTCTGTTGAGAGTTATGATTCTACACACCAAGGCTTCTTTCCAAGTAATGAGATTTTAGAAAAATTGAAATCCTGCTGGCGGTGCTTTTCATGGCACTTAGCATAAAACCCAAATCCGCATACATGATCGATAGGGCCCTACAGAGTCTGACCCTGACCATCTCCCAGACCTCATATCTTCATTTTGATCACCCTGCTGCAGATTGGTTTTCTTTTTCTTCTTCCTCATACATGCTAAGCTCATTCCTGGCTCAGGGCCTTTGCACTTGCTAGTTCCTCTGCCTTCAGTGATCTTCCCTGGTTATCGACTGGCTGGGTCCTTCTAACACTCTCAGACCCCCGCAAGTGCCCTCCTCCAACTCCTACAAGTTACTCTATCACATTGCTTCGAGTTACCTCTTATCACTGGGTGAAATGATCTGGTTTATTTTTTCGTCACTCCCTAGAACATAAACATCACGAGAACGGGGGCCTCGTCTATGTCTTATTTGTTACCACGTCCTGAGTGCCTATGACAGAGAAATATTGTTATCTGCTGAACGAATAAATAAAAGAACAAATGGGCCCAAGAACATCTGATCAAGGGCTTGTTAATGCAAGGATGAGTGGTAGCATTTGACAACCTACACAAAATAGAAATTGCTTAACAAACTTGAGAAAGATAAAGAGGCGGAGTATATTCTAAGTGACAGGAGGTTTGGGGAAAAGTTTTTCCAGTGGGTGCCCCATCCAAAAGAAGGTGTGGACTCTTCTCAGAGGCCAGTGTGCCTTCTGTTTCCATCTGTTTGAAAAGATTACCATAAAGATGGAAATTTGCAAGCCCTCCTGGGTGGTTGACATGGGAAGACCGGAGGGGTGCCAAGGGTATTTCTACAGCTGCATGTCCTAGGAGTGAATCAAGAATGGCTCAGTTCTTTCAGAAACTAGCTGTGAAAAATCTTTACTATGTTGAAATTTCTTTTAAAGGAGCTCAGAGATAATCTACAGTGATGCTACAGAGAGATGGATTTTTCTATGTGTTCTTTTTCTAGAATCACTCTGGCTCTATTAGAAAGTGGTTTGACAGCCTCCAAATGAAGTGTCCATATGATTCCATTGGAGGTGTACATATGATTCCATTAAGAGGCCTGAGTCTTGCCCACAGGCCACAGGCATCCATTTCTTGTCAGGTCTAATTATTGCCAATGACCTTGAGCACTGGGTCTTTGCTCTGAGTGAAGTTTAAAGGCTTCTGAACTTGAAACTGCCTCCTTCTCAACCAGAGAAGAAATGTCCAATATCACCTATTGTGGAAGTGGCGAGAAGTCACATGACCTGGAGAAAATGGGATGAACCAGCCCCAGGAAAAATTATTTTTAAAAAGCTTTGCTTAATTCACTTACCTTGGTAAGCAAGAATAGCTACTGAACAGAGAAGAGAAATTCACCACTTAATCAATGAGGGAGAATGCTGATTTTTAAATTTTTAAAAGGCTAATACCATAAAACTAAATGAATGCCTCGAAATCAAGCTATCTGAGGGGAAGTGTATGCAATGGATAAGAGAACCCACTCCAGAGACAGACTTGCTGCAGTGTGAATCCCAGCTCTGCAACTTAACTGCTTGTGACTCTAGGCAAGATATTTAACTTCTCTGCTCTGTGCCTCAGTTTGCCCACCTCCAACATAAACATCATAAGTACTCAGCTCATGGGGATTTTGGGATTAACTGAGTTAACGTGAGTGAAGGGCTTACCATAGGACCTCCTACACTGAGCACGATGCAAGTGGTTGCTATTATTTCTTCTCTCTTACTCCCCACCTCTAGTTAAAGAAGAAAATCCTGTATCTACAAAATAACTTCAGATACATCACCTAATTTTCATCCTAACAGTGCCTGGTAACATTGGTGGAACAAGCTTCTTCTTTATTTTGTAGACAATCAGTCTCAGGCTCTAGGCTGTACAGCTGATAATTGACTGAACCCTAACCTGAACTCAAGTCACTGCCCCCAGTCAACAATTCAACTTGGAACCTGGCAATGCCTTGTTAGGAGGCACATCCCTAGAGCCTCGTGGCCAAAGCCTCCGTTAAACACGACAGAAACTTGAGTGTGTTTGAAATTTAAAAAACAGAAACAACCCCCAAACACTGAAGCATTACTTTCACTCACAAAAACACAGAGATAAACAAACCTAGAAAGACTGATTATTTGCCCCATCTCATCTAAGCAAAATGTCAAAAGAAAGCGAGCCGTCCAGGAGACGAATAAATTAGCTTTGTGCAAGTCCTTTCGGTGAGAACAGCCTAGAATTCTAGTAGCTGTCCAGGTAAGGGCCATCTATTTATTTTGAAACACGATACACATAATCGGAGGATTATCTTGAGCCTTCCATAGCCCACGGTTCTCAGGATTCAAGCTACTATCAGAAGAGGCCCAGCTTTGGCACGATTAATGGCGATGCCTTGCAGTAATTACTTCGAGAAATAATAAACGTCCTTCCATAGTTTAACGCCATGGTATCGCCCCCATCGACATCCTTTTTCATTTTCATTTTTGCCCATCATGGAGAGAAAAGGAGAGAGGCTTAATTTGATTTACAGAGGGAAAAACAATGCTGAATGTCCTTCTTTTTTTTTTTTTTTTTTGCCAGGGGGTGGGGGTTTGTGTAAGGAGAAAAGGTCAACCAGCTGGTTTTCATCTATCGGCCATAATTCTCTGTTTAGTTTACACTATTAAACTCCAAAGCTTTGCTTTAATCTTAACTGTTACAGTATGCCTTCTTGCAGATCCTATCATGTCGCATCCCTGATAGGGTTTCAGACTCTGGCGAAGCACCATTCCCCAAGCTGGTCCTGGCCATATGGGTAGTGAATGCATCCAACATTTTTTCTTTGGCGCCTGCATCATTATGTTTTGTCACCAATGGTTTCTCGGGTTTTCAGTAAATTGCTGCGTATACTGTGGTTTGGAGCTGTCGAAATGACAGCCTCCATCTAGCTGTATACAACTGCGTCCTCATTAGGGCCTCCCTGTCCTGTTAGCCTTTGGGGGGTGACCTGACATCTGTTTGCAGAGGGCGTGTGTGTAGGGGGGAGGAAGGGAGAGGCCATAAGAGAAAGACAGAAGGCAGGAGCAAGGAGTGTGAGGGGGAAACAGCTCCCTGGAGTCCTCCACTCTCTAAGAGTCCGGGGCAGGAGGGGGGATGAGGAGAGAGACGTACCTGATCTGTCTTCGCTCTGCGAATCACATCTTCGGCACAGTTCTGGGATGGTCTTCAGCGACGTGACTGAGTACTGAATGGCAAGCCAGAGGACAAAGGGAAGAAAACGACACTTTAAAACGAGAGCGTCACATTCACTCAAATTGGCCAGAAAAAGCAAAACACAAGAAGCGATACTTGAGTACACCACGGATATATCCAGAAAGTCTGTCTAATTTTATCTGAAATGGGCTGCTTTAGGGATCTGGCTGCATCCCAAGCTCCACCTAGAAGCATCGAAGTAGATGCACATTAAAAGGGGCTACATGCCCCCCTCCCCACTTTCACACGCAAGGTGTGGCCAAGCAGACATTCTCTCTCCCGTTACTTCTACTACTGATGGAGGATGGAAGAATTTTCTGGCTCAAGAGTTTCCAGAAGGTGTCCAGAATATTTGCATTTGGAATCCGGGTGTGAAGAGCCGAAGAGAGAAGGCCTCGGCTTCTGGCAGCACCCAGGGCTGCCAGGAGCCTTACCTGTGCCCACGCTGGCTGGACTACGTAAAGGTCCCTCATGTTACCACCTGCCAGAGATGTCACTGGGTGGCATCTGTGAGCTCCATGGGAAATACCGGGGGAAATGTTATGAGAAGCAAGAGGAGCATGGTTCTGTGTCTGCAAACTAATCTGTTTCATGTATAGATTAGTCCGAACTGAAAGAAACCACCTCCCAGCATCAACCCAGTACCAACTCAGGGACCAGCTCTCAGGATAACAAATTACAACACGAGGGGGCATAAAATCAGATGAGCTAAAACAAATGTAAAATCAATAGCTATGATTTATGGGGACTATGCCTGATGCCATTCCATCTTTCTTTAGAGAAGTATGTTTTAAAACAAAATAGACAGGATGAACCATTTCTTTAATCAAACAACTGTCTTGAATCACACATTAATCCCTAAAAGACGGCTCCCTAAAAATATCTTGCTCTGTACCTTTGAGAACGATGTTCTTATGGCAATGAGAATGTATTATAAATTACTTAGACTGCTGCAAAATTTGGGGGGGATTGAGAACAAATCTTTAATCTGAAAGAAAAATGATCATGGGAAGCTCATTAGGATTATTCTAGCATTACAAGTGAGGAATGTGTAATAAGGACACATTTGTCAATAAGAAGGTACTTTAGTTAGCTTGATGTTGATAAATGAAGCCAAGTGTCTACATCGAGACCCCCCAGTGCTTCCTCCATGATGTCAGGACAGCAAAACTGAGGGAGGGGCAGCGGTAGCTTGCCAATTGCCTGTCACAAACAAATTAAATTTCCAGTTCTTCCAAGTGAAAAATGAAATCTCAAATGACTAATTAGAGAAATTACTCTTACCTGTCTGATGCAATAATATCCTGTTTATGGTGCCCAATCCTTAGAGACTACAGCGCCTTTAGTCAATCTACTCACATACTCAGAAGAAGGGAGGGCTCTCTCTTAAACCAAAAATGAACTTAAGGCATTTTTCCCCTTTTGCTGTATGCTCTTTGGGGGCTGGGGTTAACATAGGTACAGAAAGCGTTTTTCTTGTTACTAATAAGGTACCTTATGTTCCTGGCCAAGTACAAGCTCTCCAAGGAATCTGGTAGCTTCTTGAGACCAGCTGGTATGGGTTAAATAATTACACAGTTTATAATTCAATTAAAATGAGGCCTTGTGTTTCAGCTGCTATGTGCCCCAGGAAAACACCCCTTGGCAAAGTCTCACCCCCTCTCCTTCTGTTTTTCTTCCAAGGCAAAATGTTAGAAAGAGGGAATTTAAGATGGATTGTGTTGAAATATAGTTAGTGATAAATTCAGTAAGGTCGCTCACTGGGCTTAATGATATATATTTGATTAACCTGGGTGTGTTGCTGTCTGCATTTTCAGCCATGTGCATCCTAACTGCTACCTCTCGCCCCAAAGTGAGGCATGTCAGAATCTCTGAATTATTAGCTGTACATTCAGCTCTTCCTCTGTGACCTCAAAGGTCCGTAGCATGCAGTAACTGGTCATGTAATAAGGTTTAAATTGGAGCAGCGCAGGTGGCCTGGTTGGTGTGGGGACTGAGTTACAGGCAGAGGACTAGCCTCGCTGAGCCCCACCCACTGCCTCAACCTCCATCCCACGTGGCAGCTTTGCCTCTCCACCCCTGGCATACAGAAAGTCATGTTTGTGAAGTCAGACATCTTAATTCATTGGGAATAATGACCTTGAAGAAAAAGTCATACGCCGCTCCTGGTCATGAAAATTACAAGGGTGGTACAGCAATCTGAGAAAAAGATGACGCATTGGCCAGAAAATCAAAGTTCTGGATAACTGTAAGGGTATAGGGAATGTTGAATTCAGCAAAGACTCCAACCTACACTGTGAACAAATCCACCATCCTTTATTAAGACACAAGGAAAACATCCGTTTGTGTATTTGCTTCAGTAAGCACACACACCGCTCTTTGGATAGAACATAAAGCTTAAAGAGAATGCTGTATGGTTAGGTCATGATGGGAAGTGTAGCCGTGGAAACACCCAATTCACAAAACCAACATGCAAAAGCATTTTCATATGTGCACATTCAGGAATAAGCAAATGACCCAGGAAGTCTCCCTTACATAAGTGCATTGTATTACCATCTGGGAGCTGAAAGGGAGGGCTTCCCAGGCCCTCATCCCAGTGCAAAGGACAGATGGCCTTTCATAAGGAGCTGTCTGATCGCCAACCCACCTCATTCCTCGGACAATGGCCAGCTCCCTGGGCAACAGCTACTGTCATTTTGGCCCTACCAGAACCAAAGCCAATGTGTCTTCCCTGTCTCTTGCTCCCAACCCATGCCTTTGTATTCTGTTCCCTTGATAGCTATTATTCTTGGGTGATAAGAGAGAGGGGGCTTGCAGATGATTCAGAAGCACCATGTTTCCTGGCTCTGTGTTGCTCTAATTTATTCTTTAAAAAAAAAGTCTTCCAGAGGTTAATCCCACAGAAATAGCCTTTGTGAACCAAACTTCATTTCCACTCCTCTATCATGTCTCAAGAAAAGCCCCCTCTATGGGTTGACCAGCTGCCTCTGCTTCTTCAATGACCCTGTGCGTTCAATGTTTAGTTCCACCTTCTGTACCTTTACTCCAGGGTCCTGTTTGCCTGCAAAGCCTTCCTCTGGCCAGGCAAAAGCTACTGTTCTGCAAGGCCAGATGGCGCTCTGCTTTCTGCATGAAACCTGGCTAACTGCTTCAGCCCTAAAAGACTCCACTCTTCTCTGCCTTTGGTAAAATACTGCCTTGCCTTGTGCTCTGTTGTTTCCTAGGTGTTAGTGTTGGCTCCCCCAAGTGCCCCAGGGAAAGGATGGTGTCTTTGACTTGCATGAATGCATGGCACAGAGCGTCTTATTAACTATTTGACTGAAATATCAAGGCTAGCACATGTCTGATTAATCCCTGGGCATAATATTATAGATGTTCAAAAGAGCTCTTTCATATTTAGGTACTAAGTGGGAATTTCCTCCATGCTTCCACACTTGGACTAGAATCAATTAACTTTCTAAAATGCAAATTTGACTAAGGTGCTTCTCTGTTTCAAACGGGCTACAGGGTAAAGCCTTACCATGGCACGTGAAAGCCTCCACGAGGTCAGGCTTATCTCTTACCATTGTCCACTTCTCTTTTGACTATAGCCAAGTGAAATTTCTTATTGATCCCCTGTCTACTGTTCTACCTGTTTATACCTTTATGCATGCTATTCTGTCCACCTGAAACGCCATTCCACCCATTCCATTAGGCAAACTCTTTTTAATTCTTCAAACTTTGTTTAGGAATCACTTCTACAAAATCTTCCCCACCCTCCCAGATGGAAGTAATTCCAGCTTTCAAAGTGTGGTGTCTGGACCAGTGGCATCAACCCTATCTAGAAACTTGTTAGGAATTCACATTCTTGGGCCCCATCCTTGAAACTCTGAGGGCAGAGCCCAGCAATCAGTATTTTTACAAGCCAACCAGATGATTCTGATGCATGCTAACATTCAAGAACAACTGCTTTATATATAGATTTTAGGCACATGTCCATTACAGATTCCATCACATGACATTTAGCCTATATGTTCCCATCACTGCTTTCTCTGCTTTCTGAGGGTGTGGGCAATATATTTGTCAAAGATACTGGGCACTTACTGAACTGAATAAAATGAATTTCCCAATGTAACCATGATTTTAGTGGCAATAATAAAAATAATAATAGTAGAAGTTAATATTTATATGGCACTCATCTTCCTAGAAAGGCCCATTATTACAAGTCTAGCGATGTAATCATGGTATATCTAAAAGAAAAAAATTACACTTCTAATAGATTAATAGTATGGGTACTGGCTGATGTCTTAGTCTTTTGTATGAAGAACAATGGATTCGGAGCCAGAAGATCTAGATTCAAGACCCAGATCTGATATTTATTAACTGGGGTTCTGGACAAATAAATCATTTCATAGCTCTGGGGCTCACTTTCTTTACAGATAGAACACAGGTGATCATATGAGATAATGCAAGTTGAGGTCAGTTTGCAAGCAGTAAATGATGCTGAATGTTTTTGTCTCTTCCCCTTGACCTGTTCTCCATGTGTGTACACAGCCCTTCTTCCCTCCCCACCTTCATTCCTGATTTTAAGCTCAGTGGATCAAGATGTGGGAACTAAAGAGACCGGAAGAGGGGGCTGAGCTGGGACTGGAAAAGAGGAGAGCCCAGCCTGTCCCAGTCTGTTCTTTGGCTTCTCTTTGGTCTTTCCTCCTCCAAGAGAGTCCACGGCCAAGGGCTGACACTGAAACTTAGCTTCGCAAACTACAGAGTTGATGTGACACAAGACAATCCTACACATCCCAGCCTGTGCCAGTCACTTCTGTCACTCTGCCCTGCAAAATAGTTTGAACGTGCATGGGATTCATAAAAACAGTGCGTGATTTCTACACAGAGCCATCCTCTACACAAGCCATCTCTGACCACCCTAGATATTGTTCAGTACTGAAAGGCTTTGGCCCTGACTCCAGAAAGCTGGAGCCAGTTGGGTGAACAAGCAGACATTACTCAAACAGT